AATGCAAAAGACACTAACTAACGAAAAATTCCAGAATTCATGTTTTGATTGATTATGATGCATTTCATCATCTGTCATCTCTCAGTGAGCGTAAAAGTCAATGCGAACGTGAAGAGGAGCGAATGTAGTGATGGAAAAAAACCATCGATGTTTGCTATTCGATACATCGAATAAAACCGATGTTTTGGACCTTCTGATATATGTACATCGATGTATTTTTTTTCGATGCATCGGTTTCAGAGTGTTATTGAATAATGCCTTATTTTAGAATTTTATTGAAAAACGCCCTATCTCGCTGGTTTACAGCAAAAATGTTGCATGGATGCCAATATCCAATACCTATGTAGAATTACTCGCTGATTCCAAAAATCGAGTTAGTTTTCGAGCTATTTGCAATTTACCGTTATTCAGCTAAAACCAATTGGTTCCACTTAATCACGTATATTTTAAGGCCCGGTTATGCAAGATTTAGACTTGACTTTACTTTAAAATGGGATATGTACCTGGCAAATGAGTAGCGCAAGTATGTAGTTACCCAAAAAACAACTTCACTGAGAAACTTGAAGAGCTATATTCTTTTGATTTCTAATACTATGTCTTCACTGTGAGATTTAATGAAGATTTAGCCCTCTGACGAGATTTAATGTTAAATCTTGTGAGATTTACCATATAAATATATACCAGGGTTAGGATTTTAAGGCACTAAAAACCTGAAAAAGGCAGAATGAGCTTTGAAAAAAGGCAAAAAAAAACACTTTTTTTTGTTATGTACTTCCTATATGTACAACAAATAAATACACGTATGTGCATGCCCAATTAAATATATAAAAAATAATTACAGTGTCAAAAACTTATAACCGAACCACTTTTTGCCAAGTTTCTACGTATTATTTTTGTTGTTATTTAATTTTGGTTATTTTTTTTTATAAAAATATAGTTCATTCTTTAAAACCCGTGTAAATCTAAGTTTCCAACTTTGTGCAATAATAAAAAAAAAAATCAACAAACTTTCGTAAAAATTTCGAGCTATTTAGAAATTCTTAAAAAGCAATCGTCATTTTTAGCCATTTGAAACTTGTACTTAATTCTACTAGAATACCATCATGATGCAATAATGAAAGGTGTTATACGTTGGCAACTTCTCGCTCTAATCCGCCATCTTGAACTACCTTAGGAGAAACTGTGTTGTTTCTTTGCTAATTTCACTGAACATTTCCCAAAATGTCGAAAAAAATTCTAAACAAGCTACATTGATTAAATTTTCGTTGTTCGTTTTGTTCTTATTCGCTGACATTTGTTTTCTAATTGCGTGAAATTTGGTAAGTATTGTAATAAAACCGAATTATTTTACAAATAAATTATAATTTTGCATTTATTAGGTCATTTCCTTAGCGTTTTCCTGGCCAACCTGTGCTGGTATTGTAATTAAGAGCTAATACACGTAAGTTACAACATATTATTTTGACTTCATTGATAAACCATTCCATTTGCAGCATTCTCTGGTGAACTGCAGCTGCGGCCGAATTTGATTGTGTGCATCATCCTGCAGATATTTTGAAGTAAGTTGGAACCAGCTCTTTGTTATTTCAAAACCTAATGAACCATTTATTCGCAGATTTTGTGGACGCTTCTGCTGTGCTGCGTTCCTGCTCCGCCTGTGTATTGCTCCGCCCATGTTTTATAGTGTTGCGTCCCTGTTGCGCCTTTGCATTAGTATGCGCGTTGTGCTTTAGACACGTTGAAGTAAGTTGAAACCTGGTTTTTGTTTGTTAAACACCTAAAAAGCCATTTATTTGCAGATTGTTTGTATGCTTCTGCGGTGCTGCGTTTCTGCTTTTGTCCTTTATTTCTTAAACTGTCCTTTAAATCGGCTCTGCATTTTTCAGAGGTAATTTTTAAACGCAAAATATGAAAAATAAAAATGTCCCCTTTAAAATATAATGAAAACCTTCGCCAGGTTGTTTCGCACCCCACTTAAGGGTTTCTATTTAATCGGTTATCTTTGTACAATCTACAAAGCACAGGGAAAGTTGTGCCCAGGATCGTCTTGTATGCTGAGTTTCCAGTTCCACTGAAAGATAACAGTAAAGTCCCTGCTGCATTGTAGTTCAAAACTGGTGTTTAGTGTTCGTAATTCACTGGAGCCTTCATTTTTCACTTCATTTGATTAATTTTAATTTTTTTATGAAAGCTTACAATATTTGAAATGGACCAGTTGAGCCTGATTTCTGAATTTTTATTTGATTATATTAAATTTTTTTTGTGCAAAATGCAGAAAAAGTAGCAGTTTTGAAAAAAAAAATTTGAAATGTTATAAACAATGTTCACCAAAATATTTTTTTTTGCTTTTTAGTAAAAAGTGGTGGAAAAATTAAGGCTTCGGTGGATTATGAACATTAAATTCCAATTTTGAACCACTGTGTGCTGGCTTCGTCTCACAGTATGAATTATGATAAACGCATTTTGGTAGCAAGGGATTGCGAAGTCCTTGAAAAGGATTTGGCTTCATTTTTCGCTACAGCAGGGGAACTTGTACAATTAAATAATATATTTAACTGATAAGTCGGCCGCTGTGGTGTAGTGGTAAGCAGTGCGCGCTTCCACTCCGCAACGCCTGGGTTCAAACCCTGGTCAAAGCAACATCGCAAAAAAAATATAGAAAAAGGTTTTTTTTTAACAGCGGTCGTCCCTCGGCAGGCAATGGCAAACCTCCGAGTGTATTTTTGTCATGAAAACCAGCTTCTCATAAAAATACAATCGCCGTTCGGAGTCGGCGTAAAACTGTAGGTCCCTCCGCTTTGTGTGACAACATCACGGGGCACGCCACAATTCGGAGGAGAAGCTCGGCCAAACACTAACATATGTGTAAGCGCCAATCTATTATTTATTATTATTAACTGATAAATATTTGATTTAAATTACGATAATGGTAAGGTACTTTTATCATACAAGTTGTATGTATGTAAGTATTCCCAAATCGTTTTGAAAAAAATGTCCTTTATTTTACGGTGGCTAATATGGTCACCGTAATTTACACGGATGTTGTTAAAGAATGAACTATAAAAGCTAACCAAAATTAAATTTTCGGGCGGCTTTAATTTTTTCGACTACTGTACATAAATTGACTTTGGTTACTCGGCGGTGCTATCTTAGTAGCACAATGCCACTAATATTTGACTTGCAAACAAAATACGGGCACGAATTTCAAAATTTCATTCCTGTGTGGGGGAAATATTTTATTTTTAATCATAAAACTATGTTGACATAAAACTTAAAATAAAAAAATTTTTTAATGACACGCAGAGTATTCCTTTCCAAGTTTCTTTGTAAATCAGCCGGAATCACGGAAGTTATTTAAGTAAAAAATTATGTTTTTATTTACATTTTTTAAGGAAACTGACAGAAAAAATCCTTTTTCACTTAAATTGCTTTCGTGAAACCAGCAAGAAAACTTTCATAACCGTGCTTTTACGAACTAATTGAACAACCTTTATAGGAAAAATGGCAAATGAAAGCTTACAAAATTGGCAAATAGTCAATTTTTGTATTTTGTGTGAAAACCTGTTCCTTTACAAACAAATTAAGCTACCAATGAAGAAAATCTATCGATTAATAAAAAAGGAATGAGCGGTAAAATGAAAATGCGAAAGATTTTTTGTATAAAATATAAGCAGGTTTGATCACTCATTCATTTCTAATTTATCCATCGATTTTCTTCATTGACAGGAATAGTAAGTAGTAGGAGATCCGAGAATGGGACGACCTTCACGCATCTGTTTAATGGATGAAATCTACTTTGTATAAAATTTAACGTGTTAGGAAATATTTGGGGAGTGGATTGGCTGCAAAAATCCTGGCCAGGATATTTTTAATTAAATATTCAATACATTTTTTTTTTTTAATTTTGCACTCATTTGCTTAATGAACGAATTACATATATACCAATCGAAAGCATAAATCCTATAGAATGTGTGGAACAGATAAGTTAAAATTACTTGTTTTACCCGATGAGTAGGCCAGGAAAAAAATTGACAACTCAACGTTTTCACAATCTATCGGCCTTTCGATTGGTATATAATTTGTTCATTAAACAAATGAGTAAAAAATTACAAAAATAATAACAATTTTTGAATATTTAATTAAAACTATCCTGACCAGGACTTTTTCAGCTAACCCACTCGCGAAGTATTTATTAACACGTTAAATTTCATACAAAATAGATGTCGTCCAATCAACAGATGGATGAAGGTCGTGGCTTTGTAGGATCTTATGGCCTTATTCATAAAAAATAAAGTAGCTTTATAAAAGGTTTATAAATTGAAAAATGTATGAAAACGTCAATTTATAAAGCTCTTTAAACCTACTTTATTTTTTATGAATAAGGCCATTAGTCTATGGGCTTTCATATGAAATATAAAAACTTACGAAAAACTCGGGTTTCCCCTGTTACGAGTTCGAATTTATTTAAGTTTTTAGTCAAAAAAAAAAAATTGGAATGATTAATTAATTTCTCAGAAACTCAGACCTATCGAAATGTGATATACATATATACGATTTATGGAGAATTTTGGCAGCTTTCACTTGCCATATCTTGCATTAAGGTTGTTCAATTGCTTTGTATAGATATCCATGATTAAGTGGAACTACTATTTTTAACTGAATAACGGTAAATTGGAAATATCTCAAAAGCTTATCCATAGAAAAAAATTAACTCGATTTTCTGAAATAGCGTGCGATTCTACATACGAATGGGATAGAGGCATCTATGGAACAAAAAAATACACAAATTATTCGTCTCTTATTTAGTTTTGTGAAATTAATTTTTTGAATGCATTGTTGATCATAGTGTTCAACGGTGTTCAATTAATCGGACTACTAAGCTTTATAAAACGAGTAAAAAACTAATAATTGAGAGTGGAAGTTCATTTCAGTTTGGGAACCTTCTTCGTTGTCCACAGTAGTTCAATTGTGGTTGCCGTTCCCCCTATAATCCAACTCACCTTCCTCAAACGCCGTCGCTCTCGCAATGTCGCTGCCTTCCTGCGATCCACTGAAACGTTTTTCTTCTTACAAGCCTTACAGGCCCACGTCAGACATGGACGCGACGTCTGCGCCGAGGAACAAACCAACGGCGCCAGCACATGCTCATCTGAACTCAAGCTATTCTCGTCGTAATCCGTGAAGATTGGTGAGGGTGTCAAGTTGAGCTTATCGCTGTCACGTGAATTGGAATATTTGCAGGCGTTGTTGTTATCGGCAAGAAAAGCACTTGCAGCAACGCGATCGACGGCTTCCATGCCAAAGTTAAGTCCAACACCAATGCCGACGGCAGCGCCATAACGACTGAAGAGTGTTTGCAACTGATGCTGATGCGAATTTTGTTGTTGCTGATATTGTTGCGATTGTTGTTGGTGGTGGTGGGTGTGATGATGGAGGTGCCGCGTGGGTGGACGTTGTTGATGTGTAAATGATGTTTGCTGATGACTGTGGTGCAAGGTCGTATGTGGAAAGGTTGAATGTTGTACAAAGCTGCTGAATTCCTGTTTGATGCTGACTCGTTCCATGGCCATTAGGTGGGGTGCCTAATTGTGCTGACTTTACAAAGCTAGAACACTTCACTTGAATTGTATTTTGGTGTAACATGAAACGTGAGTATGTGACTAATTTAACTTCTCTTTTTTATTTAGTGAGCATATTTTATTTTTTTTTTTTTTGTATAACTTAACATTTTTGCACTCATTAAAACTTGCTTGAAAGCTTTGTATTTACTTAGAATTACTTGCACTGCACTTTCATAAATATCAATGAAATTATGTTAACAAACAGTCAAAACGGCGAAAACCATCCCTCCGGTTCAGTGTCACTGCGCGCGTTTTCCACTTTCACGCGCGGAAATATTTAAATTAATTCGTCCGAAACGACAACAACGACATCCGCGACACTTTTAGTTGACAAAATTTCAAAAATTTAATTTCTCATTTTCTTGAGTGAGTTTGAGATCTGCATGCGTGCGATCGACATTGTGGATTTGTATGTATGTATGTTTCATATGTCATTGTACACATGTGTTGTTGTCCTTATTTGAGTACTGTACTCAAGATGTTTAAAAACTGAAGATTCCCCGAGTGGTTTCTATTTATAAACCGTCTCGTTATTAGATGTTCTCTAATGTGACACAGGGCAAAATTCGAGCCAATGCAACTAAGCCACGCCCCTTCGTCTCAAAATACTCCAAAATATATGAATGCGTATATACAATTGTACATATGCGCCTACTTCATTTTGGCGTATACTATATCCATATGCGCGTATATATGCAGCTCCATTAGTATGAAGATGTTCCTATGCCGCTAATTATTTGCATAGTTTTGAGTGGAAAATCAAAGCACATAAGAGATTTTAATGAATGAACAAATTTTAAAATGGTGGAAAATTTCGGCGAAGGCTTTGAGCTGGGCATTAATAGAGGTGAAAAGAAGATTTAATACATACTTACATATGTACATATGTATGCATGTACATATGTACATATATCAAATTGAGATCAGCGCTCTACTGCACCAACGAAATATCATTAGCATTTCAGCAAATTATCGAACTTGCGCAAAGTTCTATGTTTCACCAACATGATAAGGAAAAGTCACTCAAATGAGTATTGATAAGTAAAAAATCACTCAAAATCACAGATAAGCGTTGCAACAAAATTTTAAATGCTTAGCGAAAAGATTTTAGCGGATAAGTGATAAGTTATGCAAAAAATCAAAATTTATTAGCATTTCGTTGCATCGAAAATTTGTATTTATCACTTGTCATTTTTCATTTTGCTAACTTTAACATTATTTTGCTAAAAATATTTTTACCTATCACACCAGTGATAAGTTACATTTATTCAGTCTGAATGAACTAATCAGTGCTTTAACATGTGATTCGATAAAATATTGAAACCAGAAATGCCTCGATTCGAAATATTAGATTTATTAGAGGAGGACAGTCTGCAAATAATAAAAGGCGTGACATAAACGAACAAATCAACTATAGTTTACATATTGGTGTAGTGGAAAATTTGCCGCTATCTCGTAGCCAAATTGAAAAAATTGTATTAAAAATTGGAGCGAACCTCTAATGTAACAGTGAGCGTTATAAGGCATGGCCGAATGTATGGGATCCACAAATTAGCACTATGTGGAGTAATCCATCGAGTGGCACATGCCGTGATAAACAAATTAATGGATGAAACTATTTGTTGGCCGGAATTTACGCAAAATATTGCCACACAATTTTTCTACCTTGGTGGATTTCCTTAAGTCGCATTGATGGAACTATGATAAACATAGACGCCCCTAAGATTACTGAGTACCAATTTGTTAATCGGTACGGAAATATTAATGCAATATGGGTTTTGTGTTTTCGTTACTGAATTATTTTGGAAAGATCCAAGTAAATAATCCTTAAATGTAGAAAAATATAGTTATTTATATAAACATACACATGATAGTCAAGACGGACTTACTTTTATTAATAATTCTGCCAATTTATTGGCTTTGCTTTGTGCGCGCGACATAAAAAGAGAAAAGAGAAGTTGAAAATGTTTATCAAATCGCACATGCCTTCGTTTTCCATTAAGAAGCGGTAATTATTTTAGCTAGGCCAATTATTCGAAAAGTTCTCTATTTGAAAAGAAAAAGAAATTGGATGTGCAATGGTTATAAAATCGACTTATCCAAATAAATTTTCATTATTCGATTTTTTTATAAGTTGATAAATTTTCATTGATAAGTAAAAAGTGCAACACTTATCAGCTTTACTTTTCAAAACAAAGGCTTATCCAAAAGTTGTAAAGTGATAAGTGATAAGTCCCAGGTTGCGGATAACGCAACAAAGAATTAACCATTACCAACAAATAAAATAGATTTGTACTTTAATCATGATAGAAAGCGAGGGAGCTTTAGTTGGACAATCCGGCTGCAGCACACAGTAGTTCCTGTAATTGGCCAAAATAAGAAAAAATCAAAGTCAAAGAAACCAAGTCGAACCCATCACCACAATTTCATAGAAGAATACGCTTATCAATGGAATATGTAGTTGTTTTGATCGAATTCCAGCCATGCTCTTTAAAACTTGCTTCAAAAGATTGCATTCTAAAACATCTTCAGTAAAAATTACGATACGGCCTTCGTCAGCCATGTTACTGATACGCTGACGATCGTCGACGATGACAATGACGATATTCAGCATAGAGCCGATTAATACTTGCAGTGAGATGCAGGTTGATCTTGATTACTGCTAAGTGCGGTGTGCTCATTGCTTAGGCTCGTCCAGATTCGAGTACCGTAAGTCAACCCATCCCTCGTCACGCGTGCATAAAACTACTCTTCTATGCCCGGATTCAACCATCCTTTGAACACCTCTTACATGATGGCATACTGAAGCTTGAATTGGGCTGCCGAATAGCTAGGCTGTAACTATCTCTGGCCGACAGGTTTACTCAGGCTCCTGGACCATGATGCCGAACGAATATGGGTACACTACCGCTCATCTGTTCCAGCGCAGAATGTGGATAAGGCCCGTACCTGCGTCTCTTTTTCTTCAACTGTTTCTACCACCCTGGTTCATGCGAGGTTGATGACCTTCGACTGGGTGTCCTACGGGGCCTGCCCAGTGGCCCTCCGCTGCACCTGATACTGAAGCGGTGCCTGTTTCTTGATCTGTTCCAGCTATTAGAGCGGTTCCGACTTGTGTAACGGTGCCCGCTCGCGGAGTATTGTCTGCTATCAGATCTCTGTCTCTTGGTGCGTGGAAAGATAATTTCCGGCCGCGTGTCCAGCGGGTTGCTTTTGGTGGCACTGTGACAGATAGTTTTGTTGTCATAGATGGAGCTGTTTGGCGCTTACACTTATGCTAAGGTTTTGTCTGAGTATCGTGCGACAAAAAACCAAAAATTTCAAAACCCACGAAACAATCAATATAATCGCGATACTAGGGAATCTACGTTTTTTGTTTCTCCCTATGACGCCAGTATTTTTTTTTTAAGGACTTTAAACTTTCAAAAAATCATTTTTTTAAGCTATAGGAAATGCAATCCACAAATCCCACAAAATGGCAAGGTACTTTTTGACAGCCCTTAAAACGCCAGGTTAATAAACATCAGACAGCAATAAAAATTTTGACAGAGTAGCTCATGTAAAAATCCATTGAAGCATATGTTGTTGTAAAGGGTTGATTGTGACTCAATTCAACAATAAGACGGGGTGATAGGTTTACAAAATTAATACCAAACAACTTTATGAATAAATTTACAAAAACGCAATAAACTAAGTTTATAATATAATCAACCCGAGAAAACAATACAAGAATTAACAAATTCTTATTAAGAAACACATTAATTAAAATCTTTCATCCAATTTAGCTTCTTTTAAAAACAAAACTATTTCTTAAAAAAAACACCATATTTTTAGTTTTAAAAAAATCTGTCAAATTATTAAACTTTTCAAAAATCTCAAATTTGTTTCTGAAAACATTTAAACCAACACATTCAAACAATATATGATGAGGAGTTTCATTAGCTCCGCAATAACCACAATTAGTAGAAATATTACGATTAAATTTATGCATCTTAATTAAATACATCTTACTATAAGTATGACCCACAATAAGTCTATTCAGAAGCTTTGTACTAAAAACATCTAAGTCATTCTTTTTTGACCTAAACCATGGACTTTTATCTTTAGATGCTATTACATCAACAACATCTGAATTCCAGTTAGGACAAGCTTGCTTAATCTTCTCTTTAACATCACCCCATAACTCAAAACTAATTTTCAACAAAGCCTCTTGAGGCGTAAAATCCAAATCCAATATTCTACCAAAATTGGTTGCCGTTTTAGCAGCTAAATCCACCTTCTCATTAAAAGAAATACCAACATTACTTGGAACCCAAACAAAAACAACACTTGTTAATAAAGAATGAACTAACTGATTATGAAATTCAGCAACAAGAAAATTATTAGTAACACAGTCACAGTCTAAAATTTGAATTGCAGCTAAGCTATCTGTAAAAATTGAAACATTTTTCCAACTATATCTTTTAGCTAGCCTAACCGCTTCATTAAGAGAAACCAACTCCCCAAAAGTCGAAGAAAAAGAAGTATTAATCTTATATAGATAAGAAACATTACTCACTAAATCACATACAGCACAACCAACTACATTATCCATAACAGATGCATCTGCAGCTAATAAATGAAAACCCTGGCATAATAACTTATCCTTTTTTTCAGAAAACATAGATTGAAGCTGCTGATAAGATATTTTTTTTAGAATTATATAAATCAGAATGAACAAATTTAACTCCATTATGCTTTTGAAAACTAACGATAACATTAATTTTATCAAAAATATGTTTAAGGCCCCTATTATGAGTTACATTCGATCTTCGACTGTGGTCGAAAGTGCTGATCGAACGAATTTTCATTTGGTATTATGGCGCTCATTCGATGAAGAATAGCGCTATTGTGAACTTCGCTCGTTTATGTTGTTCACAATAGTATATTTTTCACCGCTGAGAAGCTTT